TTGAATTTTCCTTCTTTTGATGAGCAATACGTCTTGGTTTATGTAATGCAGTGTTTTATTGTACACACAGCCAGTCTCTCAAGATTTGTGGATTACATAAAGAAAACATTTGGATTTGAGATAGTGTGTGAGCGAGTTAAGTTTTACGCCGCTGTTAGCAATATTGCAGCAATATCACGACCGGCCACACAGAAATGGGCTTCACACATTGCCTCCATGTGGTGATTCGAACCCGGGTCTTCGGCGTGACGAGCGAACGCCTTAACCTCTAGGCTACCCCACCGCCCCGGATTTGAATTCAGTGGGGCACGGATACCGGTTGTGCGACTTCCATTTTTGTGGACGTCGTGGTGGCTGAGTGGGTTAGATCGCTGGCGATTAGGTGCCCGGCTCTGCGAGTGTGGGTTCGAATCCTGGATGGGAGTCAACCTAACAAAAGCACAAAAATGGGTACCCTACGTACACTAAGAAAGTGTAACCCCAAACATAGCTTATGTTACATGAAATCATTGGTACTTCAAAGTGTGGTCACCTGGTATCACAGCCCAGCTCCATGTTTGGTCATGTAATACATCTGGGGATACCGTCACTGACGTCCATGTCATGGTACACTTTCCCAATATCGTTAGGTCTGCCACATGGCTGACACAATGCAGATACAAACAGTCATGTAAATGTTGCAGTCTATTCCTGCTCCTAGTTCCATGCATTCATCATCGTCATCATCATCATCATCATCATCATCATCACTGGCAGGAAGCAGGGTATATACTTTACCATTTTACTGAAACAAGGCAATTGTGGAACCCATATTTTCTTGGAGGCGACATTCTCACAATCACACCTGTTTGAGTGTATACGGAGACCTCAAGGTGACCTCAGTAAAGGAAAAGCTCCTGTGTTGCCCTCTGTCCATTTTACCGTGCAGCCTATTGTCCAGTTGACCTTAAAGGGACACTGATCCAGAGCAATTCCACGGGACCGTTTGCTGCTTTTACTTTTGATATTGTTTTCCCCCGCGAGTACCCGGATGATATCCCAGAATTATTGACTGGTACGACCTCTGCTGCGTCACCCGCGCGCGCAGTTGGTAGTATAAGTATGATATCTATATCCTGACACCGCTAAACAAAGATGAAACCTTTGTACTCATTAATATTTCCATCATCATGATAACAAATGAAACCATTTTGAAGTTTAAAATATCTTAAAATATGTTAGGAGTGAAAAAAAGAAGTCAATGTACGTCTATATATTTTTGTCTTATAATCCTAATTAATTTATTATTATATTTGTATGCATTTGGGAACTTCATAAAAAGTGCACGATCTGTTTTAGTGAATTCATAACATAACTGTAATATCGAGACATTTTTAGATTGAAAATGTGAATCATATTTCACACACACGCCACAGTGCGACCTTATTGTTGTCTGTCTCATCGAACTTCACAGCGAAAAAAGATGAAGTGGAAATATTCTGTTTAATATGACACAACAAATGAATAAAAACCAAATACAAATATTAAAATTAAAACCAACTAAACTTATAGCAATAATATCAGGCGATTACCTTCTACGCGGAATGTATCCATCAATATCCACATAAAGGAACGGTAGGTCTCTAGCTGACAAAAGAAACCTGTTCCTTGTCATGTGTCTTTTAACAGTCTATAGTTTGTAAAATGCAAAAAATTTATAAATCGTTATAACTGGTGATGAACAGGAACGATTTTAGGTGCTGTGAGGTGAGGTGAGGCGAAATTGGGTTTTACGCCGTGCTTGAGAATATTTCGCTCATATGACGACGTGCATGCGTGTGTATGTGTATGTGCGGCTGCTTGTACTAGCCCAGACGTAAGCTGGTTTTATAGTGCTAGCCCACTGAGATACCATGCCGCAGTGAAGCATGAATACCCCACTCAGACACATTATACTGACTCCGAGCCGACCAGTCCTTGCTGTACCCATTAATGCCGAGCGCCAGGCAGGGGACCAACAAGTACCATATTTTAACGTCTTTGGTATGACGCGGTCGGGGAAGGAACGATTTTAACGGATAGATAACTTCTTATTGCAATCGATGCAAGTGCTTGATAACGACATTAGCATCTTCACCGAAACGTCGCATCGATTGCAGTAAAGACGTTGTCTATCCATAAAATAACGTTCCTGTTAATCATACCAGCTTCTAAATGCCACTCAAACAAGTAATAACTTGCCATAGTTTCTGAACTGTTTCAGATTCAACCCAGTGGTGTATAGCCTCATTGGTCACCCAAGAAAACACACCTGACAACAATTCGAGAGAGAGGGGTGTGTGTGTATGTGTGTGTGTGTGTGTGTGTGTGTGTGTGTGTTTGTTGTTGTTGTTGGGGGTTTGGGGGTTATTGATTTTCATGGAAAATTGCTGACCCCCTAGTATACATAAAGACGTTGTATATCCTTAAAAATATTCCTCATCCTTCAAAGTTTCATTGCCTATATATAACTTTAATTAGGGGTCGACGCTGTTTTGAGGATACGGACGGTAATTCGTGTTGCATAAGAATTACATATACGCATTTGCTGTGCACTACACTTAAAAACTATAAAAACCTATTTACCGTTTTCAGATTTTTCTAGCAGTGGCAAAGTGAAGTTGATTAAGTTTACGGATTCAAATAATAATGTTTTTAATATCATAGGTCAATAGACATCACTGTGTTACATGACACGATTAGTATGGTAAACATAAACACAGAAATAGAATCAAATTTGATCAGTCATACCATCCAGGCATTACAAAATCCGAAAAAGCCTACACTGCTGGGATACTTTATTACAATCAGACATGCTAGAACTACCGGGGATATTTTCAAAGAGCGGCATCTGATGGACATCCATCGTTCTTACTGTCCCATTGTTTACAGTGGCGGATCCAGAAAAAAGGCCCCCCCCCCCGGAAAATGACATAAGATCACATTGAATTTTTTTTCTTGCGTTGGCAGAGCCAATGTCGGATTCAGGGGGTTCGAACCACCTGAACCCCCTCCTTTCAAAATTCCTTGATCCGCCCATGGTTTAGGATAAAGAAATTCTGCCAAGATGGACAGTTGTCCTGTCCCCGTGTCCGTCACGGTCGAGAGAACAGGGACTGACCACCTGGCAGCTAGGCGGTTGTTGGTGCGAAACATTAATGGCTCTGGATCAGTGCCCCTTTAAATGACAGAAACCATACCTGGTGTTATAATTTGTATTCTGCTGTTTTAATTCGTAATAAAAAAGAACGGCGTCAACGAGAGGGTTCGTCTTTTTATTTTCAAAAACGAAATAGGAAGTATTAGATAACAGAGACAGCTTTCAGTCGAGCTGAGGCCATACCCTTGACCTATATTTTCTATACAAGTAGATGTGATATGTTGCAATGGCGCTCGACACACGGTTTTGTACGGTTTAAACGCTATTTTTCCAAGGTCGTCCACTGCAGAATACTTTCTGTTAACCCTCGCAGTAAAGACTTTTTAAAAATACTCAAACATACATCAAGGTTAATGTAGAAACCTATGTTTGAGGTATATACATAAAACCTGAAGCAGTTCAAGTTCCCCAATTTAGAATAAATCCATTCACATTGATTTTCATATACATTTCTGGTGTTAATAGTGAGTGAGTGAGTTTAGTTTTACGCCGCACTCAGCAATATCCCAGCTATATGGCGGCGGTCTGTAAATAATCGAGTCTGGACTAGACAATCCAGTGATCAACAGCATGAGCATCGATCTGCGCAATTGGGAACCGATGACATGTGTCAACCAAGTCAGCGAAACTGGCCACCCGATCCCGTTATAGTCGCCTCTTACGACAAGCATAGTCGCCTTTTATGGCAAGCACATGGGTTGCTGAAGACCTATTCTACCCCGGATCTTCACATGTCTCTGGTGTTAATAACGTAGCAGAGGGTGCATGACTGAGTATGGTTTTACGCCGCTTTTAGCACTATAAATTCCACCAATACACCGGCGGGGAACACCAGAAATGCGCTTATTACATTGTACTATCTGGGGAATCGAACCCGGGTCTTCGGCGTCAGGAGTGAACCACCAGGCTATCCCACCGAATCTATTATTCCACCATTTTTGCCCTGGTCTGCCCTGGTTATAACGTCAAAATGTGGGCGTTATATCAGGGAAGCCATTTTAGTAAGTCAATATTTTAATTACTCTAAATGTAACTTGTTTACATTCAGTGAGTTGGGCACACATCCATATTTCTTACAACCGTTTCAGAAACGAAGGTACTGGGGTCGAGATGTAGTGCTTGAGTTTACTATGTACTAAATTTTAGTAGTCCGAATGATCCCCCGTAACGACACAGACTTTCATTTCACGGCCTGATGAACATGGTCAGCCTTTCTCTTGATAGCTTATAAGTATTCCGACGTCAGCCATGCATGCACGGGCGTATATTGTACCTGCATGAATACGTTCCTTTCACCTGAGGTGGCGAACATGCGCTTATCATCAAAGACCATTGTGTTGTTTCTCCAGGCTGCTCGTAAATCCTTCGGTTATAAGTCAAATAAGTTTAAAAATGTTCCTATGCATTTTCAGTATAACATATAAAAGCGAAGAAGTGTCTTGATAGTGGTCTCTGAAACATAAAATTGGCGTCCGTTGTCTTCAATTAACACCTTAGACTAGTGTTGTGTATTAACTAGCCGAGAGCCGCGATGCGGTCCTATACAAGTCAAGACATGACCCCGCTATGTACTAACCTGTTAATTAAAATTCATTAAGATCCCGAGGTTGCCTTATAAATAATACAAATTAGCACTACGTGGAATGAATAAATTATGTTTTTATTATTTATTAATCAGCAAGTGTGTTAATGTTTAGCTAGGTAGATAAATGGCATGATGTTATAACAGCACCCAAAACCCAAACTCTAATATACGGTGAAATTCGAAATTGATTGCCCGCAAGCGCTTCCTGCCCGTCGTGATTCCCCGCATCACGTGACCGGCCCATAATGCCTAGGAACATTTTGTGACGTCACGAGGTCTCTCCCCAACTCGTGGAGTCACACAGTACCGGTCTGACTCTGCAGAAGAATGTCACTTGCACGTACAGCCACGCTACGACTTCTGCTGCAGAACAAGGTAAATGAGAACAACAACACCAAGAACAGTTTAATCTGTTTTTGACGACCTCAACACAAAATGTTTGCCACACACGGCGTGTGATATGTAGATTCAGCCGCGAGTTCGATATTGAGCTTCACCTGTTAGCGAAGACGATACGTCACGACAGACCGAAAAGCTTTGATTGGTTCCGAAATCACTCTTGTCACAATAATTGATTCATATCGCACATCAGATATATGTTAGTATTATATTCCAATACCTGTTGTGGGTATTTAGCGTCCGTAAACCTCCCCAAACTAGGTGCAAGATATTGTTTGTCAAGGTCAAACTCGCATCAGCTGTCAAATGTTCAATAGGGCTCATTCCACACACACGATAGATAATATGTAGGTGACGAAGATCACATACATTTTAACAAGTATGGTTCGTTATTACAGTAGGTGACTGCACTTTCCGATTTTAACTAACTAAATCCAGTTGTCCTGACGACAATAAGTGGGTGGGTATGTTCTACCCCAATGCATGGCAGGCCTCAGCTAGGCTTCCTTACTCATCAGCATTATCACTGACAAGATACAAGGTTTCCTTGTGATTTGAAACTGTTTAATGCCTGTATTTTCACAAACCGAATTAAATAGCTGTCTGGGCTTTCACGCTCTGCAATGCAGTCTAGGCGTGGTTTTGTATGTATGAATGAAAGTTTATATGTAGATCTAGAGTTAATAAATTAAGTCAGATTTGGTCGGGAGGGTAAGCAGATTATCAAGCTTTTCAAAAATATGCGGGTTTACCTATAATAGCTTATGATTAACAGTATTGGGAGCTTCTTTAAATACAGCACCACAACTTCTTGTGAGGATGATCTGTTATAAGTCACTTGTCACTGAGACTCTAAGTGGCCAGTTTATGTGAGCTAGGAATTTGTTGGCTCAGAACTCACACTCTTGTTTGCCAGTCAGTTAACCGACTTTTATATGTTCTTACTGATAACCTTGGTATTTATTTATTTTGTCAAGTCTAAGATGTTGGAATGGGCTGAATATGTCACAGACATGAAGGTTACAAGTAGGCGTGATGCTTACAGACACCTCCAAGTGATCCTAATGCCAATTGTGGCGAACTGTTCTCATTCTGTAATCAACAAAATACTGAGCATCAATGGACGAGTCAATACGAGAATCGTATTGTTATACTTTGTAGTCTGTGTTTTCTGACGAAGTGTGGTAGAAGGCATTATGCAATGACAGATCACTTAGAGGAACTTATGCGCATGTCAACAGTGCAGTAACTATTTCTTTAGCCAGTCTAATTTGAAACAAGTTGTCACAAATACAGTCATCCCTCGCAATAACGCTCTTCACGATACCGTGGATTCGGTTAAACCGCGGGGTAATGCGATAGCAATATATAAGATCTCTGTTAGAATAACTGCTTGACATATAAATTATTCTGATAATGGAATAGAAATTCTTTGATGTTATATTTTCGGATCGTTTTTAACTGTACATTGGACCAAAACATCGATCTGTGCACAGCTGATTGCTATTTCCAGCTTAGTTGAATAACAGGTAGCATGACAGGAACAACAATTGACTTATCATGTCTTATGTTTCATTGCAAGTTTCATGTACATACATCTATTTTCATTGACATGGTTTGTTTTTTCGCCTCCAACAATACGATATAGTTTTGACTGGGCACAATACACGAAATAGCAGTTTTGTTATGTCCATGGAAAATACTATTTTACTTGGCCTTTGTTCCACGTTATGTAATCGTTACTATAACGCAGGTGTGTAAAAACGCGGGGGGTCATCCATGGACCCCAAGACCCACGTTATGGCGAGGGATGACTGTAACAGAATTGGGTAATGTGACATTTTTGTAAATTTGTGCTGATTTCTGAAAGTTGACCATGTATTGCTTACAACGAACATGCACTGAGTTGTCACAACATTATTGATTGTCTATCCCATGGCAGTCGCAGTGAGGGCCAGTCTTACATTGTGTAGACATTGAGTGCTGTCATAAAGTTTTTATGATGGCTTAGTACACATAAATCAAGAAATAGACATGTGTGGAAGCCTAAACTCAACACAGTTGAAATCTCTTCACATATACTGATAAACTACAGTGTTGCATTAATTGACATGAAACAACATGTACAAGTTAAGAGCGGTCCTAAGAATTTATTGGCCATTCTGAGGGCTAAATAAACAAAACAAAAAACATTTATGCTTGTCATGTACGTACCAAACAATGATCACCGCCCCTTGTACATGTGTGCAATATAGCAATAATTATGACCACCCCTCCCCCCCCCCATGTCCCTCGTGTCTTTGCAGGGATTAAAGATTAAAACATAGTGTTTGAGGTGACACCTCCCCCTCCTCTCTCTGATTGGTCTATCAAGCACCACTCATGACACCTACCAATTCTTTAGTGTTATTTCTGCAAGTCGATTGAAACCCGATTTTGACTCTCAACTTAACGATCTTGCCACAAATGGATGACGATTTATCCTCACAAAGTGGGTGTGTGGTCGAAAGAAGCGCTCTGATTGGTCAACGCTTTTAAATCTGCATGTTTTTTTTAGATTTGCGGAAATTTTTACTTTCAATGACTGCTTGACTTGAAGTTTTTTTCCCAGCAATGGCTTGTCTAAAGAAAGCATCATTTGTAAATGTCTTCTTAACAAACATCATCCACCCAGAGGACTTACTTCTTTGACTTGATTTTAAAGTCAACATCAACCCCTAGCCATAAGTTATAAACAGTCCTTAAGCTGGTGGTGTAAGTCATCTTTTTTAGATATGGACAATGAAATTGTCTGCTCAGAATACTTATCTTGCTGTTACTGAGAATTTAGAAGTGCTAATCTTATTTCTGATGGGCTAAGTTGAACGCTCCCTTGGCAAGGGTTTGTTAGCCATCTTTAACAGGAAGAGGTTTGGATTCTGAGTAAAGATTAACCTAGGTTGCCTAAGTTTGTTATCACCTTGTTCATCAGACACGAGTGAGTGAGTTCAGTTTTACACCGCTTTTAGCAATATTCCAGCAATATCACGGTGCGGGACACCAGAAATGGTCTTCACACATTGTATCCAGATGTGGACTCGAACCCAGGTCTTCAGTGTGACGAGCAGACACTTTAATCATCAGGCTACCCCAGCACCCCTCATCAGGCAATGTGAAGTGATAGCGATAGGAGAGAAGTGTGTGACTATGCAGTGGTGACACACATTCACTGGCCAGTGAACTGAATTACTTCCCAGTCATCCTGCCTGACATGGTCTACAAGTGATTGTACAGCTAATCACTGCTTTTGTGAATCTTGTCATGAGTGGGCTTCTGTATCTGTGAAGTAATCATAGCAATTTGCCTGTTCAGTCATGTTTAGAGAATCATTATTTGAAAGAATGGTTACAGTGCATTCATTATTCTACCATCAAGGCACATAATTCTACACCTTGGAGGGGCGGGGTGTATGTCTAAAGAAAAGCATTCCATTATTGGTGAATGTGTCCCCAGCTGGTCCTCATACCATTGTTTGGTGTTTTTGAAATTTAAATGTCAATGGGTCCTTATCAAAACACCCTAGCCCTAATGTTAATTATTGGGGGATCTCAGGATTCAAATACCATAAACTTTTCATACACTGCCAATAACTCCTAATGAAACCTCGCAAGATAATATGGTGGTTTTCGTTTTGTAGGGCTTGCTAAAAAGAATAATCTGAAGCTATTTACATAAACTATTAAAATATAATAGGTTTAATTCACACACGGTCTACAAAGTTCTCTCTTTATTCGTTGCTTTTGAAATATGTTCATAACACTTTTCAGTCGGTAACCTTGCATGAGTGAGTCACTGATAATCAGGTGATGTGAAACCTGTTCATTTCTTGATGTTTTGCATGTTTGCTCAAAATGCTCAAAGTTAATTCTCCACTATTTAGCAATGTTGACAAATAACATTTATCTATTTCTGTGATCTGTATCGATAGCATCCTTTTAGATTGTAATAATGTGTCACAAAATGTTACGGAATGAATGTACATTGACTTTGTTGTGTAATGACACACACTTCTTGTTGTTTCAGAACCTTGTTCTGCCAGCCGTCTCAGGAGCACGCAATGCCACCTCGACAACAGTACGTACATCTTGCTTCTTTCAGTGGTACAGTTATTAGCCTCAAAACGTTTGTTCCATGCAGTCGGACACTGGGGCCGGTGGGTTGTAGATTTCTATCGGACCGTTGGCGAATATGCCGGATTTGCCAGAGGGTCCGACGCTATTCGTCAACACTGGTTTTATGTTTAAAACATTAATTGAAGCTTGTTGTATGCATGTGTAATGCGAATATCGGTCTCAAAGACTGTATTCTAGAATACCCAGATATTTTAAATGATTGATATTAAAAGCAATATATTTAGTGGTACTTTTAGTCTTTTTATGATCACAATTTATATATTCATTGTTTTTTTTATTGTGATTGTAAAATAGTGGAATGAAAATTAATACAAATTCACTGAATCTTAAAACAAATATGCAAATACGATAATAAAAACATTGTCATCTGCTATTTCGGCTCAAACAGCTGGTTAATTTGTTTGTTGTTCATGAATATATTTTTTGTGCTCTTGTTAATATATACTGTGCATTTGCACTAGATAACAAAGGATTTCTGGATGAAAGCTTGGAAAAAGTAACCATGGTTACCACCACAAACTGCTTCAAATTGGATAAATCCAACAGACTTCACCATTTGGGAACGAATTACTTTTATTTTTTATGCCTTAGTATTTATGTTTTTTGTAAACACGAGAAATGTGATCAAGTATATGCTTGTAAACGGTTTCAACTTTATTTATCACAGTCGTAATGGTGAATCAGCCTGTTTTGTCATGATTTCTCTTAAACAAGTAATAACCTAGTGAAGGTATGAATGCACAATGCTATTTAGAAAGTGGCAATTGTGAAATGTTATATTTGGGATTGCACTTTTCAAGCACAGTACAGATTCTAAAGTACTGTCGGAAATAGAAAAAACTGTTTTTAGGCTGTCACTCAGTATCCCTAAAATTTACACAATTGCAAATAGCATATGTTGAAATAACCCACATTGGCCTAACTCGGCATTCAATAAAATGCGTAATAGGATATCCAGAAAAGCATGTTTACTCGTAATATTGGACAAAACTTAGAAAAAATAAGAATAGCTGCTGAAAACAATAGATCAGTCTATAGGTGGCAATAAGGTCGCTCAGCCAGATATGACGACGGGCCTTAGACACACCTGGCATGTAATGCATGTGCTGCCCACAGGCACAAGGGGTCATCTCAAAGATATTTCATGCTTTTTCATGTGTGTCATATGTCTCATCTATTGATTAGCATCTTACGTGTCTTCCTTTCATAAAAAGTTATGGTGAGATATGTAAAAGAGTGTGATACCCATAGAAAAGCTTAAATCAGCCATCATATTAAATGTCTCAAAATATATAGGTGGTATATCCACCCAAAGATCGACATGACTGGATATTATTTGTATATTGTTATGACATGCCGTATGCTTCCCCAGTTTAAATTCCCCTAAAGGATTATCTTATCTCAGCTGATACCTCTATCCCCCAGGCCGACCCCAACCACCGTCTGCGACACCCGTCCTGTTTTTGCTTTTGAGACGACCCTTCTACCTGTTTCTTTTTATGGTGATAGTGAGACTCCATGGTAGCTGCATCCTTAATAGTAACGGGTAGTCTTGATCTTATGCTTTGTGTATGTGTATGTGTAAATGACAATTATGGGAAACCTCTGAGAGTGTGGGTTTGCATCACAGATTGGACTCGACCCAACTGGCTATTTGTGCAGTGAACTAGCTAGTTCTCTGTCCTACAAATAGTTAACGGCTAGCTATTTGTGCATTGAGCAGCTAGTTCTATGTCCTATGAATAGTGAAGGGCTGGCTATTTGAACAGTGAGATAGCTAGTTCTCTGTCATACGAACAGTGAACGGCTGTCTATTTGAACAGTGAACAGCTAGTTCTCCGTCCTGTAAATAGTGAAGGGCTGGATGTTTGTGCAGTGAACAGCTAGTTCAACGTCTTATAAATAGTGAACGGCTGGCTAGTTCTCTGTCCTGTAAATAGTAAACGGCTGACTAGCTCTCTGTCCTGTAAATAATGAACGGCTGGCTATTTGTGCAGTGAACAGCTAGTTCAACGTCTTATAAATAGTGAACGGCTGGCTAGTTCTCTGTCCTGTAAATAATGAACGGCTGGCTATTTGTGAAGTGAACAGCTAGTTCAACGTCTTATAAATAGTGAACGGCTGGCTAGTTCTCTGTCCTATGAATAGCGAACGGCTGGCTGTTTGTGCAGTGAATAACTAGTTATCCGTCCTATATACAGTGAATGGCTAGCTATTTGTGCAGTGCTACATTTGCAGTCTTCCATGTCCATGCTTGTCATTCAGAGACAACACTGGGGTATGTGAATGGTGACATGACTAGCTCTTTGTCACCATGACCTGATGCTGTGGATGGTTGCTCAAGCGTTCAGCCAGTGATGTGACTTGGCACTGTTTACAAGCCGTTGAAATATTGCTCGCTGTGGTATCTAAAACCTGCACATTTTGTGATCTACCTGTCATACTGGATTGTCAGCAGTGAAATTTGTAATTGGGTTGGGAGTTCTGCAGTCACAAAGAAATATAAAGTCGAAACATAATCGTGATTATCTTAAAAAGCAGAAATATTTTGTTTTTACTTATCATTGCAAAAATAACAGTGCTTACAGCATTTATAGTAGATAAAACTGTAACTAGTCATTCATCAATATCTGCTCAGTCGTGGATATTCAGCTTCAAATCTGAATCAGAGGTCAATAGATGATCCAAGAGTGAAATCAGATTAAACATGGATGTTTTAGCAAACAGCTGTGGTAATATGTAGGACCATAACGATGCATCAAACTATCAATGGATTGCAATTGTTGAGTTTTCCGATAGCAATTAATCGATGTTAGAAATGAAAAACTATCGATGTACGTGTGACTATCGATAGTTCAGTATTGACTTCTGTTGATATTGCTCAGCGCAAAATACAGGATGTTTGAGTGCAGACTTCATTGAGTTTGTTTTAACTGTTTATTTACTCTGTTTCAAGTTTCTTGTCACTCATTTAAAAGACTGAAAGGACTTCAACTTGTTTTTGTTTCATATAAACTATACATTTAATGATTAATTTGGGAAATGTCTTCAAATGAGACAATTCAAGGAGAGAAAAAACTATTGCAATAGGCTATCGCAATAGTAAGTTGCAATAGCAGGGCTCGATTTAGTTCTTTGATACTTGCACTGATGCAACCTAATATTACAAAGTGCAACCTTGTTATTAGTCTAACTTGCACCAAGTGCAAGTCAATTTTGAGTGGGTAAACCTCTGAATAAAACATCTAAATAATTCATAGCATATTTCTTTCATTACATATTCCAATAAAAGCAGTGCAACTGGAATTGGGCTGGTGCAAGTAGGTTTTATCTTATACCCAGTGCAAGTCAGTTAACATCTCTTATCGAGCTGAATAGACTGTAATAGTCACCCTTAGTTATATGGTTATGTTACCATATCTCTGAATGTAAGAATTTAGGGGTGACTGTTGAGGGGGAAACAACTATTGTGATAGCCAGTGTTGTTCCTAGGTTTGGTAAAATATGGGCCCAAGGGGCCCCTGCATGTATGATTTTAAGGGACACCAGAAAATTTAGAGGGTCCTGAAAATTTGAAAATAGAACAGAAAACATAATAAATTCACTGCCATTTAATGTTTGAATCAATCATGAACCTTGATGGGTTGAACATGCTCAAAATTCACAAGAAATAAACCCATGAATATTGATTTACCCATTCGACCTGGTAAGATCGGACTTTGGGTTTCCGCTTCATGTCAGCGTCCAAGTCAGTTTTTGTGAGGTAATTGTGCACTGGTGGAAATGTTTATTCATTTAAAGGACTGTTTGTCTCATGAGTTCCATTTTGATCCCTCCCTTTTCTAAAAAAACACGTTAGTCGCATCTGCCGCTTGGGCGGGCCTGCTTTCAGCTATGCTTGACGACCATGTGTGCGTTAAATATGTAACAAGTTATTTCATAGGCTGATAAACTGCAAATCTGACGCATGGATATACAACGACGAATCTGATAGTCAAGAGTTAATGCATTCAAAATGGCGGCGTAAACATCGTGTTGTTGGTTTGTCGAGTATTGCAGGCAAAAAATAACTTTAATCTCGGCATATTAATAAAATGTCAACTTTATGTGAAGGTAGGTTTCTTTAGAAATAGGACGGTTACGACTTCCGCCCGTATTCCCCCTAAGTCTTAACGACGAGAAACATTTCTTTGCGTGGCATTTTTAGAAGTTGAAAATGTGTTTCAGTATGTTCAGATACAGTTGAAAACATGTTAAAACTCATCCTTATCAGGTGAGGAATATATGTTAGATTCTGGTGATATGATTTGAATGAAGTCTTTCCATAGGACGCGCCGATGAGGACGCGCTGTGAGAAATTTTATGCGCCATGTGAAAAATTATTGCGTGATTCCCGCAAGCCCGCGCTCACGGCACAACACTGATGGCGATAGTCTATTGCAACTTACTATTGCGATAGTTTTTCTCATTTGAAGTCATTTCCCATATGAATGTATAGTTTATATGAAATAAACACAAGTTGAATAACTGACAAGAAATTCAAAACCCAGATCAAGTAAACAGTCACGTTTGTTTAAGAGGTAACAGGGGCAGATAACGAAAGTGAACGAATCTGGTACTTCCTCTATTTTGCGCTGTGTATTCATTACTAAACTATCGATAGTCACACGTACTATCGATGCATCAATAGTTTTTTTGTTTCTACCATCAATTAATTGCTATCTGAGAATCAACAATTCCAATCCACCGATAGTTTGATGCATCATTACAGCCCCACTTCAATAGCTTACAACAGGAACTGTGTACTGGCTGCCGAACAGTTATCGCCATATTTTAGCGGTATTTACAAATTTACTCCACCGTTACTTAAAGTAATGAAACAAAATTGATCATGATACTAAATTAGCTATTCACTGATGTGTCTAGCCCATTCTATGCCAC